ATCACGGTCTCCTTATTGAGCCATGTTTATCATATGTGTTCAGTTAATCTCGGGACCTGGTCTGGTGTTCAACGAATTACTTCGTGGTGTAGATCGAACATATATCCCGAGACCATAGACTTTATAACAATAAAAATGTATATGATTGGTTTGTGGTCGCGATACTGGTAGATTGCCTAGGCCAAACAGGTTAAATTTTCTTGGTGAATTAAAAACTGGCGCCTTTGAATAGCCAAAGCCTGCCCGGCAAACCAGTTGGGTGGTGTGTGAAAACCGCAGTCCTTTGGGCGCCGGTATTCAGTGCACTGGCCCTTACACCATTTGGACAGGATCAAACATTCAAGTGGCCCATTGCACCTCGATGCTCAATCAAGCCGGCGACCACTGCCACAAACAAGGAGTGTGTATTCGTACATCTCTTCCTGGCTGATCAGGGTTTTTAGCCAAATTCCCTAGATGAAATGACAGTGGTTCACTGACCAGATTGTCGGCTTTTCGTCCTCTCATTTTGGTGGCGAAGTACGACCGCCAAGGGAAGGTAGTGAGTTGGGCTTCCTCAGTAGAATTGGCTATTTGAGTTGCCTGGCTGTATAGGAGCATTTTATGAGATACAGAGGGGGGGGGGAATGACCAGTGATAACCCGAGACACCCACCCCCAAGGTCGGATAGATTGTTGTTCTCGTAGTCCTTGCTTTTATTTTTCCACTCACCGCTAGTGCTCACGATCCCTTCAGATTTGTTCGCCCCATGTGCGAAAAGAAAATGAACTGGAGACAAATCACAAAAACTATACCAAAAAACTACCCGTAAAAAATGTTTTCTTTACGTTAAGTGAATGAGTTCATTGTCAAACTTTCAGCGAAGTTTGCGGACAGTATTCCCACAGATCTTGATCACCCATTGCACGCGGAGCTGACACGTCGTTCCCATCATTCCATACTTTCAGAATTTCGCCAAATTTAATGTGGTATACAGCTTCACCGAGATTCACCTATACCCTGTCTTACACGTTTAATCATAAACAAAGGGTAACCTGGGACTTAAATGTCTCAATACTGTCTGTAAACACTTTTCCCCGTTGAATATGTTCTCTGTGTGACAGTTGGTGTGTATAGTTTTTTTAAAAACCTAAAATGTAAGCTTCAGTGCTTGCAAGTTAAACACAGGTAAAATGCAATACAAGTAGGAGTGTGCAAGAAAAAGCTTTCAATTTTGCACCTCATTTCCCCCTGTAGACGCTTTCAATTCGTCTTTAGACCCTCGACCGAGTCCGGACCAATGATCCTTCCCCAACAAGCATAAAACAGATCTATTTTGGAACCTTGCACTTTCCATTGGTTTGAGGATGACTGCGGGCAGATAGTTGAATGGTCGTTATCATCTGCAGTAATGCTTATTATGCCTATGCAACGTTGCAACGATAACCTCAGTCGACATGAATTCTCTATTTTGCACCCTGGTACTTACTGATTTGAACATTCCAGTCTTCCCTTTGACTCCATCCGAATGGGCAATCACATGAGACAGCAACCAAAACCGGTGCACCAAATTGCGTGGTTAATGGTCGTATAAACTGAGATCGTACTGTTTGGTAACCATTTATTACGGGCGAAATTAGAAGTTCATTTTTTAACTGTCCATTGGTCGATGATCGACCGAGACCGTTCACCTTGTCTGTCTAGATAATGTTTGATGAGACCCACTCGCAAAAACACCTTCACCTCACCTCACAGGCTTACATCAGGCCCACTCCTATTGCGTTACACGATCTGTCCACTGGTCGGGCTGGTCTACAGCACCGAACGGGGGTAGGGGTCCGGTTGAGGAAAGCAACTGGCCGACTCAATCCATGTGGTCGAACGATTGTTCGATTGGGGACGTGTTTCATCAGTTCGAGATAACCGGAGACCCTCCGAACCCAGTGTGGACAGATGCGATGACGAGATCGTGTGCATGGTGTGATCACATATTGCTAACTTACTCTTTGGTGTAAGGCAAATCTGAGAGCAAGTTCATACAGGCAAGTTATGCGGAGAATCGATCCGTTTTCACGCGGAATGTTGTCTTCGTTTCACCCACTCATCATGCATGGGTGGTCAGTTACGTATCTTTATGCACGCGGTCGACCATGAACAACTACACCCCACCACTGACCATCCCGATCAACAACTGTTCCCTTTAGCTTCTGGTTGTTTTACTATCTCTAGGCGTACAGTCTGCTTGTCGTTAAATTATTTGTATTGTGTAGCACAATCTGGTAATGTGCACGCGCGCACACACACACAACACCGTTACACATGTTTTGGTTCTTTGATCGTACCTTGTCTCCGATGTTTGCTTTTATCACTGAGATGGGGTGAAATTTTGTTTACCCGTTATGGGCACTAAAACAACGTGGTCTTGTGT